AGATTTTTCTTTTCTTTTTCGAAATTCTGAATATATATTAATTGCAATTTCAAATGCTTTTTTTCAAAATTTTTTTCTCAATTGCTTTTTTTTCCTTCCTTTTATGTTACATTTTGCTTTGCTGCTTAAAATCTATGAAACTTAGAAAACTTGAAATTATGAAGCTGTGTAGAAAATATGCAAGGAGTTTCGAAAGAATACAAGAACATACAATTCGATAATTAGTTTTATTTTTATTTTGAACAGCCAACCCAATTTTGAGTTTAAGATTAGCCATGTTTAACTTCATAGCCTTGTCATTTTGAACCCAATCCAGCAGACAAGGGAACTCCTGGATCAGTACCCAGAATTATTGATTTGCTAAGGGAAATTAGAGGACTTTGTGACCCCGACAGATTTGACATGTCCCAGTCGCCATTTTATGCACGGATATTTTTCGGCTGGCTTGATTCGAACTTCCATAAAGCATTCTATAGCACGTTGAACTCGTGTGATTAACACGAGTTCAACGTGCTACCAAACAAATTATCCCCGTCCCATTATTTGTTTATTTTATAACCATCATTGAACAGCCGACACATTTTGAGTTTACGACTACAAATGTTAAACTCCGTAGCCTTGTCATTTTGAACCCAATCCAGAAGACAAAGGAACTCCTGGATCAAGTATTTTTTGTCTTCGTGGAGGGATTTATCGATGGAGCTCACCCGCATTTGAGTTATATAGAGAGGAATACCACGAAAACCTTAAACGGTTAACGGATAGAGGACTCTAACCCATGATCCGTCTACCACTGAGGATATTTCACGTCAGCACTGTGGTCGGTGCAAGTCGGATGCGGAATTCGTATCGACTGGGATTCGAACCCAGTTCGCCTCATTGGAAGGCGAGCGCTCTATCCCCAGAGCCATCACGGCTCTAAGTATGCGCTTTTATATTTTTATTATATTTTTTAGGTGGCTGAAGGATGTCGTCATGTGTTTTGTAACAAAAAAAGGAATTTTCTAAATATAACGGCATTTTACATTTTAACGTTAAATTTAAAACTTACACTATTCTGTAATTCCATTTATATGTGAACTAGTGTTTTATTTTCTTAAATAATTCGATACATAATTACCGTTACTGCGCAAGATTAGCTTAATAATTTGCTGTTGTGCTCATCATGTGATGGCCTTTAGAATTGTGTGCTATGGTATTGTTTTCATAAGTGTCACCGCAATAACATTGTCCGATAAAGGAACATAAGTTTTATATTTATTTTATGTATTTAATCATTTAATATTTTATTAATTTTCTCTTTATGTAATTTTTTTTTTTTTACGCCGCATAATTTAGTTTAGCGAAATCTAGAAGTAACTGAAACAGATTTGCTTGCAGTCACGTACTCTTGCGGCTAGATGAACAGTGCATTTTACTTTGTTTCAATTTCTGATTAGTTTTAGTTGCATATTCTTGCAAACAAATATCAATCCGCTCCATTGTCTCAATTTTTCATGTTGCCGCTTTATCGTTCCATGGCGGGTCAGGCAAGTGAAGAAAAAAAATTGCACAATCGGTTTTTAACAGCAATTACAGCTTTTGCAGGCTTCACAGCAAGCAAAAGCAGTAACCTGTAGGGGAGAGTGGGGTCAATTGTAACAGGGTACGATTGTAACAGAGCAAAAATTTCGAGTGTCGGGTTCTAGATTTGGTTCCTAGGTGGCGCACAAGGTGTATTTAATAAATCTACATGTACACCCCTGATGGCAACCATTTTTATGTACTTTTGAAAGAGTTACATCACAAAAGATATTTTCACGCCACGCAAGTACTTTTTTTGGTATTAGAATATTATATTGTAACAAAGTAATTTTGTTTAAACAAATAAAAATTAGTAACCGAATATGTAAGTGGACACTTTAATTAACATTTCAAAAAAAAAAAGATTAGTTTTGCTAATTAACTAGCATTGTTTTTAACAAATGAAGCTGAAATGGCGTCTTGGGGACAATTGTAACAATAAGTAAAGGGACGATTGTAACAGCTGAAAATAAATAATCTTATGTTTACAAACCATTACTTAACTCTTTAAGAACCACCAATAGTTTCCTATATCATTTATATTATGTTGCATGTGCATTATTTTATTTGTCACCTTTCACAGCATAAATTAAAATTTTTAACCCCTTAAAGTTAAAAGTTTAACCCTTTAGGTCTCTGCTCATTATTATTTTTACTCCTAAAATATCACTACTATTTTGATCAATAAAAAAATATATCACAACTATGATAATATGTATAATTAACTATGTTTTAGTTGAATTTATGAACTGTTACAATTGACCCCGTAAGTGGGAACAATTGTAACAAGTGCACGACTGTCAAAAATTGTTAATAACTATTATAATAACATTTAAAATCAGGGATTTATTATTTTTTCTAGTAGAGGATAGTCTACTTTACTGGTCTGTCAATTAATACTAATAATATATTGGATTTTTTGTTAGTTAAAAATAGTTAAGTAAAAAATGTTACAATTGACCCTACTCTCCCCTACTATAATGAAAGTGAACTTTGAAAGTATTGAAAAGGCTGGAGTAATTATACTGCAAGACTAAGGAGAGACAGAATTGAAATAAATTGTGCCAACCATTTCAGGGTTTTCGCTGTCGTTAGTGAATAGGTCTGAAGCCCCTTAATAGTTCTTAAAAATATACTTATCGTACCTATAACTATTCTTACAATTCATTTTTTTTTTTTTTAGTTTGTATTGATTAAATGTCCAGTTTTTTCACAACGTGATTAGAGAAAAACACTTTTACGTACATTCACTCAGGTTTAAGTTCGTATGATCTGACTTATGAAACTGAACTCTAAACATACCATTACCGGTCAATTAACGGTTTAAGAATTTTTGTATCCGAAATGCGCTTATCATCTTATCGTTTTTGCACATTTGACTTCATGACTTTTTCTAACAAATATGTACAGTCAATATTCCATTATTATTATTGTATTTTGTTTGTTTTGAATAATACTTGTCGTATACCAATTTCTACCACAACCGGTCATTTGACTGGGAGAACAGTTTATTGCTTTTTAAGGTTATCGGATCAGAATTTACGATATAATACGCGTTCAACGTATTGCATTCGATGAGTTGCACATTTTCGCAAAGACTGTTTCGTAAATAGTTCAATCAGAATAACTGTGAATTCAAATTTCAAGAAAGTACCTAACATTTTAGATTGACATTTTTGTTTAAGAAAAAGTGGCAAAATGTTTTGGTAAGTAGCTTATATTTTATGTTGATAACTTTACTTCATATCTAACTAACTGTTAGTTTTTACCCAGAAAAATGTCGAAACAATCAAGACAGCAGAAGTTATTCGAAGAAATAATATTAATTATAAGAATAGTGTTGCTTAAGGGGTTAAGTAGATTAAATAGATTAAGTGTTGCTATGTTTAGTGTTAAAAAGCTTTTATACTACTATACCGTTTTTAAACCCTACAACCAACAGAAAAAAGAAACATTTTTTTTAAATCTTACCTTTACATTTTCCAGTTCTTTGGAGAAATTAAGGCTAGCCAAACTTAACAAGATCTACTGAAAATGTCCAGGCTATATAGAGTAGCACGCGATCGACTATTGCTCTGAAAGTAACTGGAAGACGTCTAGTTCATTGTGTGAAAGTGCAATGGTATGTGAAAGCAATAAATCTATTTGCTTGTGTATCGTACGCATACATTGTATGAGCTTATAGGGTCACTTTGCCTGACCTGGTCGAATACAGTGGCTACCGAAATAATGTTATTTCCCATTCCCTAGTGCGTCAGTCAAAAAGTCCCGCAGTGGACTGATCGTAAAGGCATCTGTTCCCAGTGAAACACCGAAGTCACTGGCTGCGGTCAGTAAGCGGGTGGGTGACCACTTTGATCAGTCTGCGTAGGAACCAAGGGTACGCGGTATCGGTCCTCGTTAAACTGGCATGTCTTCAGAACATTATCAGGGATATTTTCCAGACCGTCGCCAATAGCTCATTCTACAGCTCTAGTGCGAGGTTCCTACCTACCTTGTTAGTCAAAAACTCAAACTCTAAAATATTTTTTTGTTAGTTCTGTGGCAATTCATTAAAAAAAAACCATTAGATAAGAATGAATGTTGACTTCAATGGAAATAGAACCGACTATAATCTTTATCAAATGCATACGATATTATATTCACATCGTATTTACGATATGATATTATATCATATCATTATATCATATATAAGATATTATACTATATTTATAGTTTATTTTAAGGTTTAAAAAAATTAAATAGTGTTGTAGATTAAAAGGGGAACACTGGACTTTTCAGTTCAGATCGTTGCTAAGCAACCGGAGTGAAACACGTAAAATCCAAAGGGTCGTAAACCTGAAGAAAAAAGGGGCAGCACCATATTTGTCACAATAAACTACAATAAAATGCGTGTTTTTATGGCGCCCTATTTATTTTATCACATAAAATAATGATTTTTAGTATAAAGAAGTTTATAAGGATTTTGAGAGTAGTTATAAGTATATCCTAACTAACTAGTTAAGTCTAATTGAACACTAGCTATAATAAATATACAATAAGAGTTGTGAAGAAAGCTAAATTTAAAAACAACGATTTTATACGTGTAGTTATGATAACTGCACGCAAGTTAAGCGCCTCGTTGAATTCCAAATAAATGGAAACTAACAATTTTAAAAATATACACTTGTTTAGTACCTGACTAGTTCGATATTCAATTCGCGTCTCCATTTTTAAAATTAAAAAAAAAATTATATTTATAGCCCATAAACAGGCGGAAAATCCTTCCATTTCTTTTCCCTAATTCAAGCAGTGTTTTCAAGGATGCGCGAATTCAAGAGGCGGTGATTTTAAAATAAACAAACAAACCCAACAACGAAACCACACACTAATTAAGAGGCAATTTTACTGTTGTTTTACGACACTCGAAAAAGTCCTTCGCCGGTGGCGCTACCTCCGTTATAACTCGAGCAGACGATATTCCCCCGATCAGTCAGAAGAAAGCCAACAACGATGGCAAACACTGGAACAATTAATGTGGAAAGGGAACCACTTTACTCGTGGTTCATTGCATTTGCATGCTTCTGGCTCAGTTTCTTGACCGTTGGCCTGCACCGGTCAGCGGGCATTATTTATGTTTCCGTAGTGCAAGTGTACAATATCAGCAGGGAGCAAGCTATATGGCCTTTTAGTCTATGTGGTTCCTTAATGTGCCTTTTAGGTAAGTTTAAACTTTTTTAAAATCGCAAATTGTTTGACGATAATTTGCATAATTATAGAAATATGTATTTATTTTATCATACGATCGTTTGCCTGATTATAGAAATACGTATTTATTGATATGCAAAAGAATTAAGTCGTTATAAGTGATAAAGGGGAAAAAATAAAATGAAAACAGATTTATCTAAAGTTATAAGTTCAATACGAATGGCTTAAAAGTAATCTCTTGCATTATTATAGAAATACAGTAATGTGTCAAAGAATTGAGTCAGTAATTCAACCTGAGTAACTAAGGAACGATATGTAATAACAATAACTAAACAATTATTCGTCTGAATTTTTATAGATATTCACATCAAAATTTAAAAAACTTATAATATTCAACGACAACACTATGATTGTGATTCATATTATCGTTAATTTTATTAAATAACATAATTCTAAAAATAAGAAATTATTCATAATTCTATTAAATTCTCTTGATTTATTCTTTCAAAATTAGAAAAATTGCTGAAACAGGATTTGACAGAAGAAAATTGATAAATATAATATCACCTTAAATATTCTAAAAATAAATATTCGTTATACGAAGTAATATTTTTTATGAGCATAATCTTTTATGATATAAATACATGGCATACAAGCCTAAACATTACAATTTAATTCTTCGTGTCGTAGCAGACGAGAGCAGTGTTACAGACATTTCCTAAAAAATTGTTTTTGCGTTTTAATTTACGATAGAAATTATTGCCAAAGAATTTAATCTCGCTAGAGTCATTGTAGACCATAAATTTTTATATAGCTTTTATTTTGTTAAAAAGAAAACTTTCACAACTTGCTGCAGATAGTCGGGATTGTTAACAAAATTCATATTTTTAATGAACATGTTTCCAACAATATCTTTTAAGTTGTTCTCATGAATGAACATTAATGATATTTTGCCTTTTTATATCTTTCTTATAATGGGATACCTGCAAGTGACGTACGTAGTGTATCTCGATTCTGATTGGTTGTTGAAACGTGGTATTTGCTTACGTTAGCAACTGTTCTTTCCATTCTATTTCGAGTAAGCCAGGCCTGTCCAGTACCAATTCTCTTAAGTAACAAGGTCTATATTCTTTCACAAAGATTTCGATTCTACCACGATATATTTCCACAAAGAGATTCAGGAGACCAGATAGAACTAATTATGCATCGAAGTTGCCAGGTACACAAAACAAAAATACATAGCAGTTACAATAAAATACAAAAACAAATAATAAATCTAAGTTAAGTAAAAGAAGTAAAACTAAAAAGAATTATATTTCAACAAATTCGATGTGCTATACTGCTCTATATTTAATTAACTTCACGTTAATTAACATTTTGAGTTATGTGGAAAAACTTGGCTCAACTTTAATACTCCATATTGCTGATAAAAATTAGCTACTGCAGACGTCATAAGTCACATGTGTGGGTATTGGTTGTCTTCTTCTTTTTGGAGTGCAAGTACCCATTTAAAGATATTTCGACGTTTTTAAAATTATCATTTAAAAAAAAAAATTGTTCTTTACCAACAGAAATAAAATTTATTGCTTTTTTCCTGTAAATATTTTTGTTTCCTTAATTTAAAGGTTAAAATTATCTGCACTGTTATTAGTATGTTTATGATTTTGTTTGATTTCTAAATTTAATTCTACGTTACATTTTAAGATAAAATTATTTGAATCGGTGTCTGATCTTATTAACCGTTTTGCTATTATTATTTTTTTTGGTGCAAATTACATTAATATACTATTATAAACGACGGTTAAAGAGATTAGTTAAATGATTTAGAACTTAACTTTCAGTTTCATGCTCAAAATGATGAATGTAAAAATTGTATTTAAAGTACATCCGTCTAACTTTAGTTTCCAAGAAAATCTCTTTTAATAACTATTTTAAATGTACAAAGAAAAAATATGTAAAATCGTGGAGTAACTACCACTATAAATATTGAATATCAATTCACTAGTATATAAGAGACATGTTAACTTGATTCTATCTTGAGGTACCTTTTAATAAATGAAGGTTGACATAGTCGATAATAATTAAATCCCGACATTGGTAACCTGCGGACATGATATGAACTTGCCAAGAATGATGGATGGTTAAACAGTTGATTACACATTAAACAGTTGATTTGCTTAAAAATATACTGGTCGAAGAAAGAAAAGAAAAAAAATATACGTTGAAGTAAATAAAGTCTTCCAGTCAAAAACAAAAAAGAAAGAAAAAAATTATGAGCGAAATGCTATGAACAAGAATGAAGTAAAAAAAAAAGAGAAATAGTAAGCGAAATGCTATAAACAAAAAATTTAATGAGCAAGAATGATATAAATAAATAAACAGCATGAATCAACTAGTGGTATTCGTTCATCGAATTCTATTAGAGACAAAATTCTGGAAGGGGAGTAATGTGGCGTTACTACCACTATAAATATTGAATATCAATTCACTAGTATATAAGACATGTTAACTTGCTTCGAATTTGAGAGATGAATGTTGACATAATCGTTATTAATTAAATCCCCACAAAATAACTTTTGATGCTTCTCATTGTCAACATTAAATTTACTTATAATCTTGGTAATTATTTAATATTTATTAATTATCTTGGAAATTAGTCTTCTTATCATGTTTCTAAATTCGCTGCAATTTCGATGAAAAACTTAAAATTAGATTCGTGAGACGAAATAGGAGTATTTTATTGTATTAACATTTGACACATCATATTAACATTTGACACACAAGTTTACATGTACAGTTTCTGGAAAAAAGTAAAATACTTTGAATAACTTTTGATTTAATGATAGGATTTGAGCGTACTAAAACTCAATCTTAGTGTTATATGNACTAAAAAATTGTTTATTTATAAATAATTTATTAATACTCAAATTGCTTGAAAGATGATATGTTCCCTACTGGTGACAACGAAGGTTTTTGTTTTATTCAGTCATTTATTTATATTTATTATGTCCGACAATGTGAAAAAAAATACATTTTGTGCTTCTGAGGGCCCCAGCTCCAATAAAACTTTAAAAAAAGCAGGGGGAAAGTAGGATCTGGGGGCCCTTGTCATCTCGGGGCCCCAAGCTACAGCTTATTTAGCTTATGCGTAAATCCGGCCCTGGTGCCAACATAAGAAGATTGTTGTTTTGAAGTTTTATAATAAAATGGTTGTTTTGATAGAACGCAGTTATTTATTTTAGAATTTCTAGATATTTTTATAGCTTTGATAAATCGGGTAGATTTATTGGAAGCACGAATCAGAGGCCTCAAATATGCTAATTAGTGCAAACGATATTTTAAGTTATGAAATCAGTCGTAAAAATGTACCTTCTCTGAATAAAAATGCCTTTTTTTCGACTGACCCCCAAATAGTTAGCCTTAATTTGGGAATTATGGTCCTTAGTGTTTCTAAATAGCCCCCTTTAAAAGATCAGCTGAAATGTTGAACCAACAAACTTAAATTAAAATTATATTTTAAGACGAAATAAGAGTAGTTTCTACATAAAATGTTAAGTTTTTATGTCAACAAATTCACATTAGATTATCATTTGACTCCCAGGTTCATATATATATACATTGCGTGGGGGAAAAAAACACTCCGAATGACTTTTGATTTAATAATCGGATTTTAACGTTCTAGGAATGGTTTGAGGGACTGACCTCAATTATGCATGTTAGTTTAAGTTACAAAACTTGTGTAAAATTTAAGTAGGGCTTTAACCGTTTGATCAAGAATGCGGTCGAATGTTTGGACTCCTTAATGTCTATTTTACTTTTTGAGTACTTCACCATAATGTGGAAACTTTTAAAGTGAATTAAAAAAATTGCGCACACAATTATAAAATGCTTAATCCAAAGAAAATTACATGAAAAAAGTTGAATACTTATTTATTATTTTTAATTACTTCATTTAATAACAGTCAAACTAATTTTGAAATGGGAGGTAATCAATTTAAAGAATGTCATTTTTATGGCAAAAAACAACATTTAAAAACGTAATCGGTCGAATAGTTTCTTTGATATCGAATTTTAAAGATTTGTCCTTTTTAAAATTCGATTTCTGAGATAGCTATTCAAGAATTTTAGGAAGGGGAAAAAAACAGAAATAGTTAAATAGTGTAAAATAATGAATTACATATCAGGATATACTGTTCGAAAGTAAAAGAATACAAAATATTTAATTCTATAATAACGGAACTTTCTTTGTAAAAAACGCGCAAAGCAGCAGTATTTTCAAAAGAAAGAATAATTGAAGCAATAAAGAAAAAAGAAAACAATGAAAATAAAAATAAGGCCACCGAAGCCGATGTCTTCAGGGGGTACCAGCTCCGGAAGTCATAGAATATTGCCTAAATTTTAATCAAAATAATTTTTCAAAATAGAATTGTCTGGCTTTCTCAATAGAAAAGGTTTTGTTCTATGGCTTCCAGAGCTGGTACCCCCTGAAGACGGCGGCTTCGATGGCCATATTTTTATTTCCACTGTTAAAAAGACATTCATTAACATTTTTTATGTTTATTTTTGATTAAAAAGTAGATTAAAGTAGGACAAGAAAAATGATCTGATTGATTTTCTAAATTCAAAACTGATGTTTCATTCACAAAAAAAAAATCCTGCCTATTTTTATAAAACTAAGATGACATAAAACTAAATTGAAAAGAATTAATTTAAGACTAAATGAGATGAGACCACATGGTCATTCTTAAAGGTCACTCCCTCCTCTGTTTATGACTTGCGTGAACTCTTTGGGAGTATTGGCGTGAAGCTCACACATCAAGCTAGAGAACTTATAACCATACAGAAAGTTAATCTAGGAATTTATAATTAAAAAATAAAAACCTATAAATATATTTTTCTAGCAAACAATATTAAAAAAAAGAAGGAAAAAAAAGAAAAACAGAAAATCAATAATTTTGAGAACATTAAATTTTTGTCTTGTTCGCCTACTCTGGTCCGAAATTATTAAGTTGC